ACAGGGGCCCTGCCTGCTCTGCACACCCAGGCTCTGAGCCCGCAGAGCCGCCACACCTCTGAGCCTGTCAGGCACTTGAGGTTTGTCACCTATGCTGTGGTGAACACTAGATTCAGGCACAGAATGACTTTTCTTTTACTTAAAAAATGTTTTCAGCTGGGCATGGTGGCACATGCCTTTAATCCCAGCACTCGGAAGGCAGAGACAGGCAGATCTCTGAGTTTGAGGCCAGCCTGGTCTCCATAGTGAATCCAGGGTAGCTGGGGCTACAGGGAGACCCTGTCTCAAAAAGACCAAAAAAAAAATTTATTTTCTTGGGACTGGAGAGATGGCTCAGCGGTTAAGAGCACTGACTGCTCTTGCAGAGGACCTGGGTTCAATTCCCAGCACCCACATGGAGGCTACAAACCATCCTTAACTCCAGTTCCAGGGGAATCCAAAGCCCTATTCTGATCTCCACGGCATTGCACGACACAGGTGCACTCACTTACATGCAGGCAATGCACTCATACACATAATAATAATAAAAATATATTAAAAAAGTTTTCTTTTGTGTGTGTATATATGTGGGCATGCCTGGGAATGAGCACAGGTGTGTTTGGGGTCAGACAACCTTGGACGTGCTTCTCCTTGTTTGAGATGGGGTTTCTTGTTTGCTGCTGCGGACACCAGCCAGGCTAGCTGGCCCACGGGCTTCCTCGGGCTCCTGCCTTCCCTTGTGGTCTCACTTTAGGAGAGCTGGGATCACAGATGCGCACTACTGTCTTTATGTGGGTTTTGAGGATCAAACTCAGGTCCTCAGACTTGGGTGGCTGGTACTTTTACCCACAGAGCTGATTCCCCAGCCCAGTCTTCCATTTAAAAATTTATTATTTTTATTTTATGGGCATGAGTGTATTGCCTGTATGTATATGTGTACCTGTGTCATGCAATGCTGCAGAGGTCAGAAGAAGGTGTCAGATCTCCTGGAACTGGAGTTAAGGATGGTTGTTAGCCACCATGTGGGTCCCAGGTCCTTTGTAAGAGCAGCCAGTACTCTTAACCATTGAGCATCTCTTCAGCCCTCGACTTTTTAAAATGTCAGAAACAAGCACAATTCTTTTTCTGGGAAAATCTGAAATGCATGCTGTTAGGAGATGTAAACTATTGTTTCTAAAATGTCTTTCTCTAGGATGATGGAGAGTATGTTTCTTAAAGTATGATTTGTGTGTTTCCTGGCTTTTTCAAGGTCATGGCCCCTCTAAGAATCTAGATTTGAGCCCAAGGGAGGACTGAGCATTCTTCAGGGGTACTTATGTTGGATAGGCTTTCCTGATTGATACTCTGCATATGAGCACGCACACAGGCAGACAGGTGAGAGGAGGGTATGCATTTTAGAGCTAAGCAGACAACATGGAAACAGCTGCTAGTAGCCCTCAGCTAGGAGTGGGACGTGGCGTCCACCTCCTCTGCACACTGGGATGTCGTCTGGCTTGACCTTGTGCAGGTCTGTGCATGCTGACACAACTGCTGTGAGTTCATACGTGTGGCTTCCCTGCTGTGTCCGAAAACACTGTGTCCTTGTGTCGCTCACCACCTCTGCTCTTACAGTCTTTCCTCCCTCGTCCATCATGACCCCGAGCCTTAGAAGGAGGGTATGAAATAGCTGTCCCACGCAGGACCCAGCACGCCAGCCTCTTATTCCGGCGCTTTGACTAGTTGTGGGTCTCTGCTAATTGTCGTGTACTGGGGAAAGAAACTTCTCTGATGAGAGTTGAGAGATGCACTACTCTGTGGTGTAGCAATAAGTCATTGGGAGTAGGTTTAATCCTGTGTCTGCTTAGCGGAGTAATAGTAGTGGGTTCTCCCTTAGGGCCTATGACTATCTAGCCACAGGTCCATGGCTGTGATAACAGTGCTGACACGGTTACAGTGCTGAAATCCATACCATACCTGATACGGATTTCATCTTGTGGAGCCTTAAATCCAATCAGAAAGTGATTGGTTACTCCTGTGACATATGTAGCATACAATTATCTCGTTAATGCAAAAGAGGCCTTTGTCACAGTCCAGCGTCAGTTCATGATAAAAGCCCTTGAGAGTCTAGGGATACAGGGGACATATCTCAACATTGTAAAGGCAACATACAGCAAGCCCACTGACAACATCATGCTAAGCAGAGAAAAATCAAAGCATTTCCACTAAAATCAGGAACAAGACAAGGATGCCCACTCCCTTCCCTCCATCCACCTCACTTCTTAGAGTGGATGGGTCTACTGCTCTAGAAAATAATCGTCCATCTAGCCATTAATTTGAGAGAGGGACCAGCGGCCACTTGGGGCTTTTCCTAAGGATGATCTGAGTATCAAGGACACTCCTAAGTTATTCTTAACAGTAAAAATTATGTGAAGCATCCAAAAGTGTTGCCAGGCTAAGATCCATGTCTAAGAGGAGCTGGGTCAGAGACATCCATTATTTAAAATCACCACTTGCTTCACCTTTAAAAATATTTTATGTCACTGGGCATGGTGGCACATGCCTGTAGTCCCAGCACTTGGGAGGCAGAGGCAGGCAGATCTCTGAGTTCAAGGCCAGCCTGGTCTACATAGTGAGTTCCAGGACAGCTGGGGCTACAGGGAGACCCTGTCTCAAAAAGACAAAAAAAAAATTATGTATTATTTTATGTGTATGAGTGTATTGCCTGTGTGTATATAAGTACACCCATGTTGTACAATGCCCGAGGGAGGTCAGAAGAGGGCATTGGATCCCCTGGAACTGGAGTTACAGATGGTTGTTAGCTGCCATGTGAGTGTTGGGAACCAAACCTGGGCCCTCTGCAAGAGCAGCCAGTCTCCTAACCACTGAGCCACCTCTCCAGCCCCTTGTTTCACCTTTTGATGCCACTTTACCCGACTGCTGGTAGCCACTCTGAGCTCAGCCTAACTGTGGTCATGGGCCCTGATCCCTGACAGCCACCCTTTGCCCCTAAGGGCTTCTCTACATGGAGACAGAGGACCGTATGATCAGGATACTGATCCGGGAAATGTGGACTTGGAGGCAGGTGCTCCTTACTGCCTGGTGTCTGGGCGGTGAGGGGTGTAGGAGCGAGCCTCTCCATGGAAGGTTTTGGCAGAGGCCTGCTTTTCCCCATTCACTGGGCCCTCAGAACTTCAAGGACCAAGTGCTTGTACCATGAGGCCCAGGCGATGATGGATGGCACACTTCTGGTAGTGTGGAGCCTCCAGCAGGTGCTTTGTGCAGCACGTGTGTTCCTAGCTGGACTCCGTGAGGAAGGTGGGCACAGGGGCCACCTTCTCAGTGTGACTTCCTGTTGATAGAGAGCCCAGGCAAGCTCCAGTCAGGGCGTGGCCTCTGTGGACCTCTCCGCTGCAGAGTCCAAAAAGATTTACCCCAGGAGCACTTCACACTGCCTGCAAGGCCACTCCCAAACCCTCCCAGAGACATCCCCCTGGAGGCCTCAGTGGCACTCGACTGCGGTTCCCATGGCCTTGCAAAGCGTTCCCCTGAGGGTCTTCACCCAGCGGCTGGGCTCCTGGCAGCTTGCCCAACCTTGGCAAGCTATTAGAGTTGACATTTCTCTCCACAGACACTCGGGTTGCAACTGGAGCAGGTCCCCAGCAGAAGACCAGCTCTGTGGGGCTTCGCCTGGCCCTCCTCCCCCTCTTCCTCCTCCTCTTCCTCCTACCCCTTCCTGCCCCTTCCTGCCCCTCAAATGCTGCCTCTCCTGCTGCCTCCCAGCACTGGCAGAGGGCCGCAGTGAGCACAGCAGATGCACTTGTAGCCATAATCTGGGCCCAGGGATAATGAGCCTGCATACTCTGCATTCTGGCCCTGGGTCTGTAAGAGAGTTGCTGGCAGGGGAGTGCCTGGCTCAGAGGCCCCACAGCTAGTTGGTGTCCTGGAAGGCAGGGCCACGAAGGAGGACTCTTGGCTCCTTAAAGGATGGTTTTTATTTTCTTTATAGTTTCCTCAAATGATATTTTCTGTCAGAAAGTTAAATGAGGACAATTTCACTTTCATTGTCTTAAGGAATGCCCTATAGCCTGAGAGAACAGAACTGTGGCCTTTCATTGTAACCTGTCAGGCAGTCTGGATGCTCGATGTGGTCACATGACAGGCCTGCTTGCTGAAGGGGCTGTGAGCAGAGGGAGGGTTCATTTGAAAATGTTTCCCCAGATCATTTGAGTATGCTTTCTTCCGTGTCATCCCCACCACACCCCCATCCCCAGAGCTTCCAGTATGAATCAGAAGGCCAGTTGGTTATAAAGGTAGAACAGCCAACCATCCGGTGTTAGTGATTTGCCCAGAGCCCATTTGTCAGTCCCCATAGCTTGTCTGGCTTCTTGGTTCTTGTGAGGCCCCGCCTGGGCTGCGGGGGCTGCAGCAGCAAAGGTGCGGTGCATTTCACTAGGGCACAGTTGGAGGGGTGCTCAGGGGAGTGATGGCTGTTCGCTGCCATGGGGGAAATGCACTGCTTTTTGGCTAGTGAAAGATCTTGGGTCAGGGGTTCAAGGAGAATTCTCGGATGGATTGTTGGGGGTAAGAAGCTTATTAGACAGACAGCTGCATGGCCGGGCTGTGAGGAGAATCAGGCCTCAGCACCAGACACCAGAGAGGCAAGGTGGGGAGTCCGGAGAATCAGGCCCAGGGCAGAAGTGGGGAGGGGAAGTCTTCACGGCCCCAGCCCACATCCAGGCTCTGCTTCTCCAGCAGGCAGGCACCGTGCAGTCAGCAGCCCTGTGATGTTCTGGTGTGGCCAGCTCCCAAAGTCTGGACACCGAGGGACTCTGTGGCCCATGGAGTGCCTGGTACCTTGAGGCTGGGGAGAGGGGAGGTGCAGCAGGTGTGGCCTGGGCAGCTGTCTGCTGGTTTCTCACAGCTCTGCTTAGGTGTCAGTCTGGTAGTCACTGGAGCAGTCCTCATGAGCTGGGCCACCATGGGCCACACCTCACACACGTAATGCGTTTCACACAAAGCTGCCCTCCACTTCTGTCTTTCAGAACATTGTGCTTTCAGGAGGGTCCACGATGTTCAGGGATTTTGGACGCCGTCTGCAGAGAGATTTGAAAAGAGTGGTGGACGCCAGGTTAAAGCTCAGTGAGGAGCTCAGTGGCGGCAGGATAAAGGTAGGAGGCCGTGTGCATAAAGGGAGGAGGCTGTGTGCAGCTCACAGGTGCACTCTTCTCATAAAGCAGTGTGAGGTAAACCGCTTTCTTAGCCTTACTGTGAGGAGACAGCTGAAGTTTGATGCCTGAACTCATTGGGGAATTAAAACAGTGACACCCTCCTTTGTAAGAAATCAAGTATGGCAGGGGGCAGGGCAGATGACCAAAATCCTACAGAGGTGAGCTAGGCCTGTGGTGAGGAAATATTCTCAGTGAACTAAAACACCTGATGTGTGCAGAGAATTGGGTCTGCCTCTCCACTGTCAAAGTTCTTAACTGACTGGGGTGTTACGTGGACTTCTGCCCAGGATGGGCTTTGGTGGTCGCTGGTTTGGGGTTTTGTTCTGTTTTAATGCTTGAGGACTGATTTCTGTCTACTGCACTAAGCCATCTGATTCTTTTGATTGAAATAATCAGGCTAGTCGTTTGGATTTTTTCCCCTGTAAGATGCTTTTAGTGCTGTGAGAGGATCCGTGCTGGCCACGTGAGCCTTGTTCCCTGAACCCCCGGGACTGGCACAGCAGCGTGGCTGGGTCATCGTGGGATCTGAATGTGAGGGGATATGGGCCCAGGAGGAGGCAGACCGTTAGAGCGAGCAGACCATCAGAGCGAGCAGACCGTTAGAGCAAGTGTGCAGACCGTTAGAGCGAGTCAACCGTTAGAGCAAGTGTGCAGACTGAATGTGAACTGCTTTCCTTTGTAGCCGAAGCCTGTGGAGGTGCAGGTCATAACACATCACATGCAGCGCTATGCCGTGTGGTTCGGAGGCTCCATGTTGGCCTCGACTGTAAGTCCCTCTCTGGAGTGCTGTGCTGTCAGTCCCTGTTGAGTTTGGCCTAGCATGGTCTGTGAAAGTCAAATAGCATGCGTTCTATTTGCATGGCTTTAAATGGACAAAATCCTGTTTGATATAAAAATGTTAGTGATCATTTAAATTGTACATAGAATTCATAAGCACCCTAGTAATTGTGGATAACAGATAAATATGGGTATGTGAACCTAAAAGTAATCTAAAGCATCCTATATTAACCATTAATCTTAGGGCCTTTTCGTGTGTGTGTGTGTGTGTGTGTGTGTGTGTGTGTGTGTGTGTGTACCCTGTCCCTTCTCTCAAAGGGGCTAGAACACACACTCCAGTTCCACATCCACTGGCAGAACAAAAATGACTTTGGAATGCCCATTCCCCTTGTTAAAGCTCAGCGACCCTGGATGATAAAACCTCACAGTGAAGAAAGGGTCCAGCTTTGTGCTGATGTCTCACCAGTGAAGGGAGGCACCTGCAAGTTGTGTGTGTGTGTGTGTGTGTGTGTGTGTGCACGGGCACACGCGCACACTCAACACTGAGTGTCTTCCTCAATCATTTCATCTTATTTTTTGAGACAGGGCCTCTCACTGGGAACTGGTTCTCTAATTAGCTTAGACTGACTGGCCAGTGAGCTTTAGGGATCCATCTGTCTCTGTCTCCCCAGCAGTGGGATTACAGGTGTGTGTTACTACACCTGGCTTTTACAAGAGATAGAACTCAGGTCCTCATGCTAATGTGGCAAGAGCTCTGTTAACGGAGCCACCTGCACATTTCCTCAGACCCTCCTGGGCCTTTTCTGGGTGATTATTCCCCCCTTGAGTTTGTTAACAGCTAATACATTTTTCATTTAGGCCACAGTATATTTGACCCTAGGAAGTGGGAGCTGAGTACATTTGTGGTTTCCCAGTGCTTGGGGATTCATGAGCAAATTCTGTAACAAATGAAATGAATTTCTGTTTAGTGACCCAATACGTCACCTGGGTCCAAATTAGGACAGTGGTGGGCAGGGGGAGGCTCAGGATAAGGAGAGCCCCCGCCCCTCTGCTCAGTGGACATCCTCCACCTGTTCCTCATCTTGTCCTCTTGCAGCCCGAGTTCTTTCAGGTCTGCCACACAAAGAAGGACTACGAAGAGTGCGGCCCCAGCATCTGCCGCCACAACCCCGTGTTCGGAGTCATGTCCTAGTGTCTGCCTTGGAACTGTTGTTTGACCATGTCGTGTTGGGGAACAAGTGTCCTTCAGAGCCCAGAGCAGCCGCGGCTCCTGTAGATAGCGGCGTGTGGTGTTGGTGTCCGAGCAGTGTGCTTGCATCGCCCAGTGCATGGGGCCCGTGCAGTCTTTCCAGTAAAGCCATTACCCAGGTGCCACTGCTCCCTGCCCTCCCATTTTCCCTTCCCCTCCTTCTCACCCCCACCCCCATTTTCTCTCCTCTCTCCATCTGAGCTTCTAGTTGACAAATTAAGCTCCGAAGGAATTCATTGCAACTTGAAAAACTGTTACAGGAAGACAAGAGGAAAAATAGTTTTCCCAGGAAAGAATGTGGGGTGGAGCCCTCGCTCTCCCAGCCTATTTTTGTAAATAAAATGTTATAAACTTGAAATACAAATCAATGTTTATATTTCCTATCATTTTGTATTTTATGGTATTTGGTACAACTGGCTGATACTGAGCACGAGCAGGTGTTGATGTCATGGACTTCTGTGGTAAAGTTTTACCTTGTGAGGCATGTTCTATTTATAGGCAGACAAAACCCAGCAGACTTTTTGCCATGTTTGTTAGAAAGTGATTACACAGTATTGTGGTGACCTGAAGTCTGGACACTAAGCAGTACCATGTGGGAGTTACCGAAGACGAGTCTGCTAGTTTTTGTCTGAGCTCTCTGAAACTGTAGAAGATGATGATGGTTTGATGTTGCTGAGTGTTGGATGAAATTTATCTCGCAGCATTGTAATAAAAGCTGTTATAATCTTTATACTGCGCTGTGTGGTGTCTTTTGGCCCCGCCACCCTTTCGGAGAACATTGAACTTGGTTTCACATCACCAGGGGTTTGATAATTGATACTGTGTGTGGAAGGTAGCGTCTTCAAATGATGCTGCTTATCTAGTCTGCAGAGACCCCGTTGCAGCATGCGGTCGTCCTCATGACCTCGGAATCCCTTCTTGGGAATTTTTAGTGCTGCTCCCACATCTGCTGGGTGGACAGACGACTGCTGGCCTAACCTAAAAGCTAATCTGCTAAATTAATAAATTCAGTGTATCCCAGTTTTCATATAATTCTTATGTTACCTTTTTTAAATTGTTATTTATAATATTCCTTCTAAGTTGTGAGGTATGTTCTAGTCTCAGAGAATTTCCCTTCATAGCCATTTGGATTTTGTATTTAAATGTGGAAACAAGTTTAGATCTCTGTGTGTACTCTCTGTCTGCACTTGGATTGCATATGGCCAGCCCAGTCTGAGAATATTCCATGGAAAATTCCAGAGACAAGCAGAGAGTGTTTTATATGAGTCTCATTTGAAAATGGTCCAGACCAGTTCCAATGGTCACCAAGCAGAGGCCAGACAATATAGCCAGACAAACCCAAACTGAGTCAGAGGCGTCTGAGAGAAGCAATCCTTAGCGACACCAAGTCAGGACTGAGGAACAAGTCCGTACGAGGTTTTGAAATACGAGGCAAAGGAACTCCAGTCTGAAGCCTTGTTGCCCACACAGCCCTTTCCAGGATGGACTTGCTGGCTTCCCCTGGTGGGCTGTGGGAACCAGGGCCCAGGCTTCCTCGGAGCCACACGTGGAACTCCCCTCTTCTTGATAAGGGGCAAGGCCCGTGGTGGCTTCTGGACAATAGAACGTGGCCAAGTTGACGGGCTATACGTGCGTGCTCTACGTGATCCCCCAATGCTGTACATCTTGCCAGTTTCTCCGATGCTGGTTTTGAAGACGTGGCTTCCCATCAGTCCGGCAGCCACAAGTGAATTCTGCCAACAAGCTCAGAGCTCAGAAGCAGATCTTGACCCAGTCACAACTCTTAGAACCTAGCATTAGCAGGAGCTATTCTCTGTAGCCTTGTGAGACCCTAGCAGACTACGCCCACATTTCTAATGTGTGGAAACTGTATTTTAAGCAGCTTTGTGGTAATGTGTCAGCATCGGTAGGACACCAACACAGCAGCCTGTGCCGTGTACCCTAGACATTTCTTTAGATGTGTTCATTTCTGAACATTGAATTTAATACTGAGAACCCTTCCAGTGTGGGCTGTTGAGGCAAAAATGACTTACTCCAACTTTTACTCTTTGAACAAAAATTAACCAATGTAATTTCTCCTGATCTATATATTAACATTAGCACCATAAAAGATGACACTAAATTTGAAGGGTTTTTATGTGTACAGATGTGTGGGAAGCGAGCACAGCCGAGCCAGCCAAAGATGGAGCCCTGGCTGGCTGCCAAACCTCGTGCTGTTTACTTCAACTCTTGGCTGATTGCCAAGGCTCGTGAATCCCGCTTGTTTACCCCAACTCTGAAGTATGGTGAGCCCCAAAACAGGTGCTGCCAGCCTGATGATCTTGCTACGTGCCTATGAGCTACACTCTGCCTGGCCGCTGCACGTGTGTGAGCCCTGATTGGTACCGGCTGGGGGGAGGACTGTTGAAAATGCTATATAAAGAGCTGGAGTGTGTAATAGGGGGAACACAGCATCATAAGGACAGAGACAGACAGAGGAGACAGAGACAGACAGAAGGAGACAGCATCATAGGAGACAGCATCATAGTGAAGAGAATATGAGAGAGAATAAGAGAGAATAAAGGAAGAAAGAGAAACAGAAGCTTGAACCTCACCTTGGTGTCTGTGTCGTCTTTCCTGGACTCTGCTGGACAGAGTCCTGGCTTACGACAAATGGTGGCCCGTACGGGGACCCTGATGCTCGCGACACAGATGTCTTTACCCTCACTGCAAGCCAGGACACACTATGCCGTAGCATACAAGTAGGTCTCTCTCCAATCAGACAGTACTTAAAATTGGCCTTTGGTATCCTAGTCACAGAAAAGCACTCTGCCACCCAAGACCCAGAAATTGTAGAAGAGGGAGCAGAGAAATTGTGACAGCCAGAGGGGGCGGATGACCACAAGAAAGCAGAGTTTTCATAACATCTGGGCAGTTACTCATAAGAACTCGCATCAGTGGTGACAGCATGCACAAGACCCACATTAGCTCAAGGCAGACAAAATCCCAGCATAGAAGTGGGGAGGTAGGGAAGAGGCCCAGCCTTAGCTGAGGACCTATTGCCACCAAGAGCTGCTGGGACGGGAGAGTTGGTTTTTTAAAGGGTGAGACATTAAATAGGTTAATCAGGCTCCAGTGGATGGGCGTGCACTGAAGGACATTGGGGACACAAATTTGACTCAATCGGCATATATGTATGTGTATATATACATATATATATATGTATATATGTACATGAAGTTGGATGGGGGTACTAAGAGGGGATGCAGGTAGGGAAGGAGGTCTAAATATGGTCAAAGTACATTGTGTGAAGTTTGCAAAAATTCAATGAAAGAAAATGACCTTCGGGCCCCTATTTCCTCCAGGCTATACACAAACCCAATATTCAAGAATTGCAGAACTGCAATTGCCTTTGAGCTCTTTTGAGCTTCTTAGTCAATGAAATGGGTCCACTTCATGCCCGTAGTTCAAATGGCCCTTTAGCCTTGATGCAGTACTCAGCATTAAGACCTGTGACAGGACACTTGGACTGATGAGCAAGCCAATGTTGGTGTGCCCAGAGCCAGACTACGTCAGGGGAAGGAAGGTGAATTGTCCCCGGGGTGCATAGGCCTCCGTCATCCTCGGTGAATTGCCACAGGTTCTCCGTCACTGAATCTTCCCTGAAATACTACTGCTCCAGCTCTTCCAGGAACCTGCGTTCACCAGTCTGAGGCCGTGCAGCATCAGGCTGCTGACACAACTGGACCACTTTTCTCATCCATACAGCACAAACGAGTCACTCGAGCACTGCCGTCCCAACCAGTTGCAAACTGGGAGAGAGTTTTCTGTGGCCATGTGGAGACTGTTGGCTCTGTGTGTTTCTGTTTGCTGCTTTTCTCAGTCTTGTGGTCAGATACCTAATCAGCAATTTAAGAGATGCAGGTTTATTTTGGCTTACAGTTTGAGGGGATACAGCCCACCAGGGTTGGGAGAACACAGCAGCAGGAGCGTGAGCCAGCTGCCCACATTGCAACCACAGGCTCACCCTCCTCCCCAGAATTGCTGTGGGGTCTTCTCCGATCTCCCCATGGAGCCATCTCTCCTTTACCTATGCACCAGTGATGCCCCTTACCAGACCGATGTCCTGGAAAACAGGGCCCATGTGCAGCTCTTTGTGCCCCCAAGACCTCCACGATGCCCAGCAGAGAGTAGACACCCAACATATGTTTACTGAACGAAATTCCTGCTCAGAAAGGACTCATCACTGTTGTGGTTTGAATGAGAAATGTGGTTTGAATGGCTCATGTCTTTGAACACTTGGTCCCTGCATGGTGGCACTGATGGGGAGGTTACGGGACCTTTAGGAGGTGCCTTGCTGGAGGAAGTACACCAGTAGGGACTGGTTTTGAGAGTTTATGGCCTCACGTCATTTCCAGTTCCCCCGTTTCCTGTGTGTGGTTGAGATGTGATCTCTTGGCTTTCTGCTTCAGCCGCCAGCCTTCTGTTATGGACATCCAGCCCTCTGGAGCCATGAGCCAAAATAAACTCTTCCTTAAGTTGCCTTTGGTCATGGTATTTATCACAGTAACTGAAAAGTGGCTAATACCCTGTTGCTCTGGGCGGTGTGTGCTCTGGTACCAAGCAGCACATGGCTCATGTCCTCAGAGGAAAGCTGGGCTTTGAGAGTACAGAGGAATGGCTGATCTGAAGGACTTCAGTGATATGGGATTTAAGTTGTGGCCACATTCTGTTTACTGAGGTTACCTGGGGAGTGTGACCATGGGAACTGTCACCTCAACAAGAGGCCAGCAGGAGAAATCACCTGCAGATGCAGGATGTTTTATGGGGGAGACGGTCCATTCCACAGCTTTCCTGATTTCAGTAATGAGCTCTCCTGTGACTCAAGTACAGACTGTGCGTGATTCACTCTTTCTTCATGACCTTCCATTTTATCTCCTCTGGAGAAGTTATGATTATACCAGACACGCTTGCAAGGTTACTCAAGTGCACAGCCGACTTGGAACCATGAGAGAGCCCCATTAAGAATATTTATCTGTTAAGTAATTCTTTACTTAATTAAAGAGTATTTCATAATGTTTCTTTTAAAAGTAACTGTCAGGCTTGCTAAATAGAAATATAAATTGATTGGTGAGATAATTGCATGGGGTACTGATTGGCAATTACTTAAAATTCATTCGTATGAAAATAAATCTTTTTGAAAAGAGGAAAAGAAGGCTGGAGAGATGGTTAAGTGGTTAAAAGCACTTGCTCTCTTCCAGAGGACCTGAGTTTGGGTCCCAGCACCAGCACCTGTAACTCCAACTCATGGGGATCCAACACCGTCTTCTGGCCTTGGGCACCCCATGTACTTTGGATACCTGCACACAGACACACATACACATAAATTTAAAACAAAAATTTTTTTAAAGAGGAGAAGGAACTATAACTTGATCTTGGAATTTTTAAAGGTTGTTTGAGTTTTTAAAATATTAGATATTAAAATTTATTTTGCTTTTAAAAATTTTGTTTTGAGACAGATTCTCACTGTAGCCCCAGCTGGCCTGGATCTTGCTATGTAGACCAGGCTGGCCTTGAACTCACAGAGAGCTGCTTGCCTCTGCCTCCTGAGTTCTGGGATTAAAGGCATGTACCAGTGCACACAGCTAGTTTGTTGGGTTTTTTTAACCCTCTGTTTTTTCTCAGTTAAGGAAGCAGCTGTGTGCTCTCTGGGTTGGCTTCTCACCTTTG